GCAAATCTTTTATACATGGACTCCTTAGTGTTTTGGAGGGGTCAATGAGTTTCAAATTCAAAGCCTGTCTCTCATAGATTTTGTGATGATAAAGTGATGGTGTATTGTGCTGTGCATAGTGGTATGCATAGAAAACATCCAGCATTTTAAAAGCTGATTTCTAACATACCAGTAAATGAATATTGTAGCCTACCGTACAGCATCACCAGTACTATATGCTAAACTAACATAAAAAGTTGAGGCTTATACTTCTATTTTGTGCAGTAATTAAGCTATATTTCCTTTAAGCCACAACTCTATCTGCTTAGGGTTTACGTGTTATCCCTGTGCCTGCGTGGGTTTCCTTTGGGTACTCTGGTTTCCTCCCACACTCCAAAGACATATTGATAGGGTAATTGGTTCCTTTCTAAATTGGCCCTAGTGGACTCGTCCATTTCACAGCCTGACTGGAATAAATCCCTCTCCCTTACTCACAAGCTCAACATCTCTGCAATACATCAGGAGAGAAACTATAAAATCCTTTCTCTATGGTACCGTTGACCTCCATATTATTGACTATGACAGTCCAGAGTTTTGTTGGAGATGCCTGGCAGAAAAGGGACCAAGACCCATATTGGGCCTGCTGCCCTCTCGTTGCCTCCTAGCCAAAACTTTTTAGCAATTATGAAGTCACGGCTTCCTCTCTTCAACCTGACGTTCGTATCACATTTCTTGCGATCATCCTGGGATCTTTCAAATCGGCTAGAAAAAATATTTTATGCCACATGCCCACAGTGGCTAGAACTGTCATAGCTTGTAACTGGCATAAACTGCTTAGCCCTTCTATCACAGACTGGGTGAGATTACCTAAATCCAGTCCATGGAAAGGATTATTTATGCCAAATACAAACCACTAGAACAGCCACCGATGGTGTGTACACAATGGGAATACTGACTACAGCCAAATTCTCTCGCTATCTATAAAGTATCGGAGCTGTTCCTCTTTGTTCTTCTCCCCCCCCCCCAATGCCTCTGATCCCTTTTTCCTACCACTGAGTCTTGGGTGTGATTTTTGTGGCACTGCCCCCTTTATCTCTTTCTCCTCCTTTACTCTTTTACTCCTTTGCTGTATTGCAACTTAGTGTTCATGCCAGATGCCTTTTAGGTTCACTTTCCCTATTTGGCATTCCACAATCTGGTTACTCTTGGATATCATGTGAGCCTTATGTTCTCTGATCTGTTAAATTACATGTTGGTTTATACCAACATATATGTTGTACTTTACAACTCTAGGAGATGGACTAAACCACCTCCTATCTCCACTGTACATTGTTTACAGGTTCTGTACGCTTTTGTATTGGTGACAAAACTGTTTTCCTGCTTTCTGACTTTTGTAACTTGCAGTAAACAGATTCTACATAATGATAACTGATGTGAATGTGCAAAATAGTGTATATGCGCTGCTTAACAGGTTCCCGCCCGGCCTATAGCCAGATGGCGGCCTGCAAACCCCTTGTCTGTTCGGGAGGCCACCATATGGCGTCCTTTCAGGCATGCGCAGTTTGCAAGCCCGCAGAGCCGCGCAGTGGCGCGATCTGTCACCGGCCGTGTACCTCAGACACGGCCGATGACAGATCTGAGTACCGGCCCTGTTGCCGGTACCATGTGACGTGCTGTGACCAATCACAGCAGGTCACATGACAGTTGTATACAATGGATGGCTTCCTTTCATGCCATCCATTGTATATTAATGTGTCTAGCTGTGAATGCTCACAGCGATCACATGCACAAGCTGGACCAATCACAGCCCAGCTATGTCATGTGATTAGCCGTGGCCAAATCACAGCTAAGCACAAAAAAAAAAAACCCTGAATGAATCGATGTCATTCAGGTAAATGCTTGCTTATAGCAAAGTAATTCTTTGCTATAAGCAAATTGTGTAAAAAAAAAAAAAAAAAAAAAAAATACTGGTCACTTCCCCAAAGTAGTACAATGTTACTATGCTAACGTTTTACTACTTTGATCATAGTGAAATATGAAAAAAAATCTTAAAAGAAAAAAAAAAATTAAAACTAATACAACATTTTAAAAATTATAATTTTTTTTTTCATACTGTCACCAGTCAGTGTCCCTAATCACCACCATGCCAGTTATATGATGACGCTGTATTGCACTCGTAACAGTATGTAAAAAAAAATAAATAGTGAAAATATTTTTTTTTCATTGTCTGAAAAATTATGACAAAAAAATTACAACGACAAAAAACTCGCCATGCCTCTTATGAAGTACGTCGGACTGTCTACTTTGCAAAAAGGGACCATTTGGGGGATATCTGTACTGTTCTGACATTCTTGGACCTCAAGAAATTAGATTGGCCGTCAGTACTTCAGGATTGATCATTTTTCAGATATATCCCATCGTTTGTGAACTCTATAACTTTCCTACAAACGAAATAGTACATCCTAATTTGGGTTATTTTCACCAAAGACATGTAGCAGAATACATCTTGGCCTAAATTTAT